CAATTAGGGTCAAAGTGTTTATTATTTTTTTGGTTGCACTCAAAGTTTTCTTGAGACAAACAAACAAACAGATATCAATGATCCGGTTAATGCCGATCGTATTATAGATGAGACACAACTGATGAGAGAGAGCTCATTGTCTAAGCAATTGGATGAGACGGACGCTACTGAACCAAGAGGTATGACAACTCCAGCAAAAATATCCCTCGCATTGGCCGGTCTTGTTGTCTTCATTGGGTCCGTTATCGTGCTAATCGTTTTCATAAAATGTAATTTATTTATACCGTAATTATTAGATAAATGTTTTATTCTTAATACGAAATGAATTTAGACTGTTTAGAGATTATCAAGAATCCGGTTAAAACAGGTATCATTCGACATCCGAGGGTTGTCGAAGAAGGTGCTGACAAAAGATTAAACAACAGATTAGATGGTATTGAATGGATAATTAATATTTTGCAATACCCTTAATGAGATTTATTGAATATATTAGTCAAAAGAAAATCAAAACCTAATAAACTAGAAGTCAAAGAAGAGAAGTCTCAAAAGTCTTCATTATCTGAGAGAAGTTTCAGTACAAGAGGTTTTAATGACATAAATGAGCCCATCTATATCAACAAAAATATGAAACCCGAGTCCAGTGAAAGTCAACTCTTATTTGTTAACTCAATGTTCAGCAAAAAGACTTTCGAAGAAGAAGAAGGTTCGCTCAAAGATACTAAAAACACATGAAAAGATAAATAAGAAAATTATTACAAACTAATTATATTGATATCTAAATTAGTGATTTTTCTATATTCCGTATATAGTGTTTGATTGCATAATTAGTTAAAAATAAGCTTTATATTCTTTTGATTTAAATTTTAAATGTAATTAAATTTAAAACTATTAATTCTTAATTGAATACACTTTTTTATGAAATGAAATAATTATTTAATTAAATATTGTTTTCGAAAAAATGAATACAATATAAGGTATGAAAAATATGATAAAAAGTGTTAAATTAGACAACGGATGTGCGGCTGATGTCTGACTTCCGGGTTCTGGAGGCAGAGTATAGATAACGGTTCGTGGGGTCCAACTCTCGGTTGTGGTCGCTTCGGAGGCGTCGAATGAACGGTCAGCACGAGCTCTGTTGGACACATCGTTCTGATCATCAAATGGCTCTTCAGTGGCTGTAGTTGTGGTAGACATTGGAGGTGATGAAGACATTGGGTCAGGACATCGTTCGGTCATTCTATTCAATAAAACCATTAAAAGATATATAAATAATAAGTTTTATATTTCCAAACCCATTGGGATTGCTATGAGAACAACGAGATATCAAGAATCCCATCGAGTGATCCATAAGACCGCGAGCTCTTCGGCCACATTCTCGCAAAAGCGGATCGTTTACACAGTTCTTGAACTGTCCGTAAGAACTATAAATAGATTTTTAAAATGTAAATCAATTAAAATATGGATCACATATATGGTAAGACATACCAACAAATGTGGTCGTCATGAGCCCTGGGATTAGAGACGTGTTCAATGAGTTGTTTGTAGTATTGTCCGCAACTCTCGATTGAGATCCTCTTAAAACAGACCGCATTTGACAGATACTCTGAGACCAATCGGTGGACAAACACAACGTTTATATTTGTATACCAATTAATACATTAATCTCTGGGATTACAAACCTCTCTGATAGAGCTCTGAACTGCAAATCGCATGAACCGTATCCACAGAATTCTCCACAGATTTATGAAATAATATTTTCCTCTCTTCACTAAAACATTGGGAAACATATTTGCGAACACAGTCTACGAATTGACCCCACATTCTGTCATATTATTACAAATACACACTAATTAGTACACTATTTATAGCTTTAATTATATGCTAATTATTATATCAAAATTATTCTTGTGAATAATAAAAACTCATTAACACTACAAATTGTATGAATAAAATAGTTGACAAAATATTATAATAGGGAATGTAATTAGAAGTGCTTTCTCACCGACACATCACATCCACATCTTCCAGATTTGTGGGAAACATATATCTAATGTCATCCAAATAGGGTCTAACCATTTGAGTGCAGTTATCGAGTTTCTGCGGACACTCCGACTCCGCTCGTGTCCTCCAAATTAAGAGGAAATCTATTTCAACGAAACACTTATTATAACCTTTAAGCGATAAAATCATGCTATAGTTTCAAAAATCTTTTTTATTTCGTAAATCTCATGAACGCAAACATAAAATAAACATATAAAAATTGTGTAATATATCTTGTGGGTTATCTGGTGTATGTATTACTAAAATATTAATAGAAAGTGAGTGGAGGAGTGCTAATTCTTCAATAAATACACTTCAAATAGATTCAGTAATGAACAACTAGCTTAAAATATTGAATGGTTTATTGCATTAAAATCCTTTTTATAAACAATTGTATTTTTTAATTTTTAAAAATTGTATATTTCCGTCAAAATATAATACAGTGTCTTATAGATAATAAATGTATTCATTCATTGATTTATTTATATCTTTATATTGTACAATTTAAAATTGCATAATCAATTCAAATATTAATTAAATTATACTTACAAATGAATGACAATAAATATGTGAAATGAGAAACTTTGTGTCCGGAACAATTCATCATGCTTAGTGTTGTATTTAATCACAAATATCTTCAAAGCTTAAAAGTAGAATAGTTTGAATTTAGTTAGAGTTAAAATTTTCAACACTTTGTGAGAAATATCTTAAAAATCTTGTTTTAAAATTCAATATATAAAACAAAAATCGATTTTCATTTTGTTGAACAATAAGTTGTTTTAAGATTTATATATACGATACAAACAAAATGAATTGAATTCTTGTGTTGAGTTAAAAGTGAAGAATAGATGAATAGATGAGAAAACATTGAATTCAACGAAAATGTGTTGAATTTTCTATAAGACTTGTGTAGAGACGACGCAAATGTCAGATAATGAGTGTCTTTGAAACAAAAGTGTCCAAAACAGACACTATTATCACTATTTTAAAAATAGAAACAAATGATCACTTAATTGGATAACCTTTTAATTGTGGTTTTGGTCACTAAATCGTTGCCATTTTCCACTTAAACTTTACGAATAAAATCACCAAGTTAAAGCATTGAATAATTGAATGAACGAACTCTGACTTTATGTGAAGAAGTTTAGATAAAAGTGACGCCAGAAGTGAATAACACATCCATTCGGTGATGTCTATGACATCTTAACCACTATTATTAGCTCTAATGGCTATTTCTGATGTAATAACAACTCTTTGAACAGTTTCATTAACCCTTGCTATCAATTGTGTGAATAGTTATAGAATTTTGTGCCAAACACTACACTTTTGTACTCTATTTTCAATACTAACTGAATATTATATTATTTGTATTCAAACGGAATATTTGTTAATAAAAACTTTTATACAAAAAAGTTTCGTTACAAATGGTCAGTAAAAATAAGCTTAAAATCCGGACTGAGAGGAAATGCCAAAATAGATAAGCGATAAGGTTTTAGTGTAAAAATCGCATATTTTAGTCACACATAGTTTACATAATTGAATGACTATTCATCGCTTCCGTACTCTTCAACATTGAAACTCTTTTTTGTGTCACTCTTTTGTCATCGAAAATAGGAAACAGTTATTGAAATGTATTGCCTCTCGGGCTCTAAACTGTATGTAGTTTTACAAATAAATGCATTTGAATTTATTTAAAATATGACTTCAATTCTATTAGTATTCAAAATTATTTTTAATAAAACAAAATAGAAAACATGAGTTAAGTTCTGAAAATAATTATATTACTAAACACTAGAACAAGAAATTTAAAAATTAAAATTGAAGAAAAATTTTACAAATACTTAGAAAGTTTTAAAACAATATATGATATTGAAAGGTAGGCTAAACTAAATTGTTTGACTGCATTGGCAGCTGAGGTGAGGACAGGTTCACAATAGATTGAGCCGTACTCGTAGTGATGACATCCGTGTGGGGACGAGACCTGACGTAAAGACTCAATGATAGGCGAAACTGTGAGCGCCTCATCCTTTCCACACTTTAATAATGTTATAACAGTCACACATTTCGTGAATTCCGCGTAAGCACTGAAACAACGGGTTTTGGTTTATATGCAAAAAACAAAAAAGAATTTAATTTTGACAAAACATTTAGCTTTTTATGCGATATTAGAATCGCTTGAATAGTCCTCACCAACAAAGATGTGGTAATATCTGTTGCGATTGGGAATACGAGGCAACTGTTATACTATCGATCCTTTTCTGGTATTGTTTCGTACAGACACTCATCAATGGATTTGCTTTCCGTTTGCACGACGGCTCCAATATAACTGTTTTGATAGAAAAAACAATTTGAAACTTATTTAGTATTTTAATATAATTGTTTATAAGTACCGTTGACTGCTGATTGCATCTCAGTCTCCACCAAAATCTTGTTTTTAGCCATACTTTCATCAAATAATTTTGCATAAGTTCTACAATCGATGGCAAACTTGACCCGAGATTCCAAGTATTTGATGGCAAACTCCTTGACATGAGGTTTGCATTGACTCTTTTCCACTGCAGAAGTAATACATTTTTTGTAGACATCAAAAAGATTGCATTCCTTAACGTTTTGTATGACATCTCTTCCGACATCAAAGTCACCAAATTGTTGATCACATTCTTTAATATCTTTCGGATGAATACAAACCCCGGAATTTGACTCAATTGCTATACAGAAAATAAAATTGTATTTCATTTATTAATTATTTTCTCTGAAAGTCTTTTTGTATATAAATCTTTAACAAAAATGTCAACAAAATCTAACCACTAATGCCTGAGTGGTGGTGAGGATCGAGCCATTCATCTGTCTTTTGCTTACATGTGTCGACAATATCGCGATTCTTATCATAAATATATGAAAGAATTGTAAAACTGCTGCTCTTTTCCATTTGCGGGCATTTGTTGAGAAAGTCAAGCAAACAGTCCACGTCTTTGTCTAGTGATTGACAGGACTGAAGGATCTCTGTCTGAGTGGATGTCTTGGCGATGTTGGCCGTATTGGTGATGAAGTCAGCCTCACATGACTCCAGTGTCTCGAGTTCGCAGTCAAACGCATCCATTGATAGGTTCAGAGCTCGCGATCGAAACATCTCGTTGTCATTCAGTTCACTAATTCTTTGCATAAATATCTCAAAGTTTTTTGGTTTCGATGAAACGGCATTGTCGGCCAATACTTTTGCATTCAATGCAATCAATATTACAAAACAACTCACAAAAAGCAATTGGCAATTCATTTTAATATATTTTTCAATTTAATTTATATGAAAATTTTAAGTAATAAATTAATCAACACATGAATATTAATACTGTATAAATTTTTCACTCAATCATTATACATAAACTCACTCACTATAATAATTTAAAAATCTATTTCTGGAAATTTTTTAAACTTTAAGTTCACTTTCATGTTATCTTGATATCGTGAAAGAAATAAATAAAATATTATCTTAAAAGTTAGTTATCTTAAAAATAAACCAATCATTTAAAAAATTCTAATACTTTAAGTTTTCCAACATATAATGTGAGAAATTTACAGAATATAAATTAATGAACCAAAAAATAGTTCATAAAAGTTCAATACAAATGAATAGCAACATGCTCAATTAGATTCTCTTAACAAGTTCACACATTATCTTACTGTTAGTTACGTTACAAAATTCAAACCAAATTTTTTCTCTTACTATCAATTATTTGTTTTATTTGAATATTTTGTCTTTACGGTATAAAATTATAATTTAATTAGGTTTAAATAGTATGGTATGGCATCACTGGTCATTTATTTTTTAAAATCAATATACAGTACAGTATGATATGTTAATACAGTACTAGTGCCGTAAGTGTTTAGCAATAATTTTAATACATTTAAAATGGATAAGAATATAAAAATTAACTACAGTATCAATAATTGGTGCAAAAAATGTAGTGTAATACGGTATAAGGAACACTACTTCATTGTAATTCTATATAAAATGTATATAATTCTCAATCATCATCCGAATCATCAATAATCAAATGTCTCTTTTTATTCATAGACACCACAACCACTTCCTCATCATCTGAATCATCCAAAGATCGTTTCGTTTGACTCCTTTCAACAGTTTCATCGACAAAATCGTCCGACAAGTCATTGGTATTATCACTCTTGTCGTCACATTTATTTTCTTTACTTTTCTCTGGAGTTCTCACCTCTTCTGCAATGTCTTCATTAATCGTAAGAATATTTTCTTCGGCGTCGTTGTCTGAATCCGAATCACTCGAGTCTTCAATCACATTAACTCTCTTCTTATGATTTTCGTTAACTTTTATGACTTCATTAAGAATTCAATTCATTTTGTTTGTATCGTATATATAAATCTTAAAACAACTTATTGTTCAACAAAATGAAAATCGATTTTTGTTTTATATATTGAATTTTAAAACAAGATTTTTAAGATATTTCTCAGAAAGTGTTGGAAATTTTAACTCTAACTAAATTCAAACTATTTTATTCGTAAGCTTTGAAGATATTTGTGATTAAATACAACACTAAGCATGATGAATTGTTCCGGACACAAAGTTTCTCATTTCACATATTCATTCATTTGTAAGTATAATTTAATTAATATTTGAATTGATTATGCAATTTTAAATTGTACAATATAAAGATATAAAGAAATCAATGAATGAATAAATTTATTATCTATAAGACACTGTATTATATTTTGACGGAAATATACAATTTTTAAAAACTAACAAATAAAATTGTTTATAAAAAGGATTTTAATACACATGAACTATTCAATATTTTAAGCTAGTTGTTCATTACTGTATCTATTTGAAGTGTATTTATTGAAGAATTAGCACTCCTCCACTCACTTTCTATTAATATTTTAGTAATACATACACCTGATAACCCACAAGATATATTACACAATTTTTATATGTTTATTTTATGTTTGCGTTCATGAGATTTACGAAATAAAAAAGATTTTTCAAACTATAGTATGATTTTGTCGCTTAAAGGTTATAATAAGTGTTTCGTTGAAATAGATTTGCTCTTAATTTGGAGGACACGAGCGGAGTCGGAGTGTCCGCAGAAACTCGATAACTGCACTCAAATGGTTAGACCCTATTTGGATGACATTAGATATATGTTTCCCACAAATCTGGAAGATGTGGATG